TTCAATAATGTCCTTGCCTTCTAGGCAATTGTTCTATAAATAAATTCAAAAGCCAGAGCATTCCCCCTTTAGGCCTCTTTCTCACACTACGACTTGTGGCCGTAATTCTTCCAATCTCGCAGTTGTTGCCATCTTCTGTCATGTAGCATGTACGACTCTGAAATTAGGGTCTAATGTCACTGAGCTTTTTCCCCCAATATACTTGGAGTTATGGGATGATCCACCTACCAAATTAAAGATCTACAAGTCTAGTTTCCAACACATTAAACCGTTCGTCGATACGATATCAGAGTAGAGAGATATTTGTGTTTTCGCAAGATTGCGGATGCAGCCCCGTTGGGACCCACTTGAGGCGGCCACCAACTTTACTTCTTTTAAAAGACGTTGCAACCTTACTTCTGGTCATTTCTCACCTAAACTTCGTCCACAAGATCTCTGACATATCTACAAGATCCAAGAACCAAACTCAAGAGAAATCAACTCAAATCATAATCAAAAGTGTTAAAGACTACCAGAGAATGCTTCTATGATTGAGGGCTACAGTGAGCTAAGTTGTGATGAAGCTTCGAGGTATAGCTATTGTCCAAAGTATGTATGACATCTGCTTGATTGTGCCTAAGGTTAATCTTGTGTTGGTTGTGTTGTTTGAGTGAAACCACATGGTTATTTTTTTGTTGGACTGTTTTGCGGCTACATATATGGTTTGTGATGGCTGGAAATTATGAGAAATAATTTGATAATGTTATAGCTGTTGTTAAGTTTATCTAGGTGTTAATTAAGTTGATTGAAGAAGAAAACATGAAAAATAGGTGATTGACGATAAAAGGTAAGGTGCTAGGCAAGTGGACTGTTTTGAAGATTATTCTTTTGATGTTTTGGGCTGAAAATGATGTGGTAAACATAAGTATAATATTATTGATATTCTAAGAAGATTCATGAAAAGGAAATTGGATTCAAACTCTATTTTGTTGACCGTAAATCGAGCTTGCGCTTGCCGGGATTGTTAAACTGTTTTGAAAGGCTTATTATGAGTATTATTGATGTTGTTTTAGCTGTTGAAACTTGTGGAAAGTCATATAAATAGGGGAGGTGTTGTCCGTTTTATCGTAGAATAAAGAATGGCATTCAAATGCGCAAGTTCTAGCATTCGTACTCTAACGAAAGTATTGTTCATTGCTTGTAGACAAAGGAGCTGGAGGTTAAAATAACTTGAGGATTGGACGGGATATTATGAAGTACTAGGTGCATGTTCACCTCACATAGGTTAGGGTGTGACAATAAGGCACTCCCGAGTTCCGTGGTTCTAGCATGGCCGCTTAATAATTTACACATGCTTAATTAAATCGGATATTATATGTTTCAAAGGGCTTTATGAATTTTCGCTTTTATACCACTTTTAATTGCTTGTTTTGAAATTTTATGGAAATTATCTTGAACAAGTCACACGAACCGTACCCTTGTCATGTTTGTGCGTCAAAAATCATGACACGCACACGTACTCACGATTGATGACACTTTATTATTATTATTTAAAGTTAATCGGTCAAGTCGCGTGAATGCGCACTTGCATTAGGAGTTATGGATTATAATTATGCCACACAAACTGTACTCATAGCTATGATAATTAGATTATTAATACGCTCCTAAGAGCATACTGATGGATTTAGAGTTATTTTGTATTTATTTACAAGGTATGGACCAACCTATGAATTTTATTATTATGAAGAGACCAATACTTAAAGATTGGATAATATAAAGATAATGAGGCCCAAATTCTAATTCTTTTTATTTTATTACAACTTGTTTGCATGGTTGTTATGTATCATATTATAATGTATCGTATCTAGCGGAGACAGAATTTCTGCTGAGGGGTTCAAAAAAGGAAAAAATTAAGAAAGATTGTAGCTAGAAATTGAAACAATGATCTTACAAAGGTTTTGAACCCCCTCGACCACTAAGCTATGCTTTTGAGCTATGTCAAGGGGATTCAAAATATAATATATAGAGAGGTAAAAATCAAATTTTGCCTTATATATACAGTATAATTTTTCAACGAAGGGGATTCGGGTAAACCCCCCTTCCGCACCCTAAATCCGCTCTTGATCATATCGTATTGTATTGTTTTGTGTTGTATCAATTTGATATATATTACGCTTGAATAAATTGTGTTGTTTGTCGTTGTTTCATGATGTCTTGCACCAATAATATAAAGAATAAACTAAGAAAAAGTAAGATACAAAATAGAATTATTACATAAAAGTAAAGAATAAATAAAATTATTTAATCACAAGAAAGTGCAAGATGAGAGGGAAAAAAAGGTAACGATACGACCACACCAAATCGATCGTAACATAAAGTGGCACTTTTCGTCGTTACGTAACGACGGCTTTAACGATATGGTGTAATAAATTTTAAGTAATAATTATGACAAACATTATATTTAAAGTAACAATATGATACCAATCCAAACAAGTGTTAGTGTCGTGGCCCTTCCTCTCCAACTAACCTCCCATCCCATTTTATTTGTGATACCAATTATATTTCCTCTATTTCAATTTAAGACACACCTTCTTTATTAGTGCATCCCAAAAAAAATTGACACATTTCTGTATTTGGAAACAACTTAAATTTAAATTTTTTATTTTACTCACTATTATTAATGAGAAGCTTTTATAGTCACACTACTGTCATGCCCCACAAAATTTTTGCCCTTACACTTTTAGAACTACATAATTCCAAAAAAAAAAAACTCTTAAACTTTGTGCCCAATCAAAATTGAAATGAAGGAAACAAAGGGTACTCGGCAAATAAGAGTATGACCCAAACTTTACTAATTCCAGTAACTGAGCAGACCGCTTAAGAACTTGATTGGCGCAAAAAACAAAAGATTGTTGAAACTGAGAAATCTCTAGTCTCCCCTAAACAGAAAACTTCGACTACATACTTTCATCATGCCTACTTATAACAATACTTGAACATGACAAAATAAAAGAAACATGGAGGAGATGATTCAAACTAACTAAAGCTAACACGTTAACTACTGGGCCAAATAACACTCATTACAAAAAGAGAAAAAGCGGAAATTAAGGTTGCAAATCATTCAAAAAAATAACGATTTAAAGAAGGGCATATAACCCAACAACTAATTACTTCACATGAGAAAATCCAGAAAGTGAAGAATAGAGGAAAAGATTGAACCTTTAATATTGAAGAGCCTGACCTCTTTGCTTTGGTACAGAGAAATCAAAGCAACGAGAAAGATCCCTATGGACTTCGGACCTCGATCGAAACGCGCCGGCGTCTCAACAGTCGATCTTGCACATCCAAAATGGTGAAGACAGAGGTGTTTTTAGGAGGTATTTTGATGGTATTTTTGGGGTATTTACATGGTAATTTGGAGCTGGTCTTATGGCTATTTTCTGCAGTGTTTTGGCCGTTTTTTGACTGAGATTTAGACCGGTTTTCAGAGGTGATTCACTGCTGACTTTTGGCTGAAGTTTGGTGCGTTTCTGGCTGGAGTGTGGTGGCTGATTTTGGGGGTAAAGCTGTGATGGTTTATGGGTGTTAAAAGGGACGGTGTTGAGGAGAAGTTAAAGGTGGTGTTCCCATGGCTGACAAATGAAGGAAAGAAACCTGAATTTTTAGGTGGAGGAAGGAGATAAGCAGCAGCAACTGCATTTTCTTTTTCTCTTTCTTCTTTTCCTTTTTGCTGCTCTAGTTCTCTCTAGGGTTTGCTCTTCTCAGTGTATCCATCCGGAGAAATATTCCAGCTCCTTTTTCTTAGCCTTTATCTATTTGCTTGAGTCCCTTTTCCAATTACCTTTTTTTAATCTTTTATTATTTGTTTTTTAAGGATAAAGCTTTCCTCCCTCGTCCAAACGTAAGTATGTAGGATTTATCTTGTATAGTAATATTTTTGGTGAGCAAGCTATATTTTTTGTCATGTAGTGAGATAGAAATTGTCTAAGAAAATGGGGTGCGAGTGATTAAGAATGATGTAGTAGAATATATTTTTTAAATTCTATTCTTACTAAATTAAAGTTATAAAATAAAATACTAATTAGCTACTTCTAGTCTAAAAATTACAAAAGAATAATTCAAAATACTAATGTCATGGGCTGCTTTCCAGACATGCCCCATGACCCCTTGGTCGCGCCCCATGGCGGCCTAGCAAGCCTTACAATGCCTAGCGCCATGGTCGGCCCCGTGGTCTTGGCTGCGCTAAGTGACAAGCGCGCATGTGCCTCTGTCGCCCCACCGATGCCTCTCGCCAGCGCCCAAGGGCTGGCCAATGACAACAGCGCCGCGCGCCCTGACAATGCCGCGCGCGCAGATCCTGATGCCTCGCCAGCGCCCAGCTGCAGGCCCATTCCAGCAGCGCCTCGCGCACAGACCCTGATGCCAAGCACCAGTGCCCAGCCTCAGGCCAGCACATCAAGTGTCGCGCGCGCCCACAGCAACGCGCGCGCAGACCCGCAAGACAAAGATGCTGCCATCGGACTTAGTTTTTCCTTGTAATAATCTAAGTCCTTTTCATTGTAATCATAGACTAGTTTTCATCATTTTCATTTCAGTGTGCTTCTACAGCTTTATTAGGACTAGTCTTGTAATGTTGGTTTATTTTTTTTAAGCATTATTAAGGGGGACCAAACAATCAAACATTTCAATCAGCATTTTCTGGTGTCTCTCCCCCTCGACACCACATCATTGTAATCATCATTTTCAGTCATCAATAAAATCATCATCAGCATTCAAAACCCAATTCTCTCTCAAGCTTCCGCAATTGCCCACGACATTGGTTTTCCCGCACGGCACTGACAATCTAGTCTAGCGTGCGGCGAGGACCTCATTGGCGGACAGCAACCGCACTGACATCGGTTGCTTAGCCTTACGTTGCCCTTCCAAAGATCATCAGGAAGGCGTTGCGTAACAGTTGGTATCAGAGCCTAGGCTCGACATCGGACGAGGGAAAACATTTGCCATCATCACCATTTCTGACCATGGTGAATCATGGGGAGCGTCTAGCATCCCTAGAAGAGACGGTTGACCGATTACGACCCATCGTAGAAACGGTGCCTGATCAAAGCAACAACCTAGTGCAAAGGTTGGACGACCTGGACCGCCGAATGCGGCAGGCCGAAAATGACATTGCAAACATCAGTCGTGACTCCGACGAGGACCGACAAACGGCAGCCATTGAAACTGCCAATATTCATGGCAAATTTGAGGACCTCCAACAGGAGCGTGCCGACGATTTAGCCCATCAGCAACATGAGGCAGACAGACTAACTGCCATGCAGCAAACCATAAACGACTTGACTGACAAGCTCAACGTTGTCAATGCTGCCTTACAGAGCCTACTTCGAGAAGGCGACCATCACATCAGGGGTGCAGCAAACCTCACCCCCATTCCACAAAAGCTTAAGATACCGGAGCCAAAGCCATACGACGGATCCCGGGATGCTAAAGAAGTGGAAAACTTCATCTTCGACATCGAACAATACTTCGATGCCGTGGGCCATTTGGAGGAATCCAAAAAGGTAGCGACTGCTGCCATGTATCTTCAGGGCGATGCCAAACTTTGGTGGCGGGTCAAACACGAAGCCATCAAGGCCGGTGAAGATACTCTTCAGACATGGGACGAATTGAAGGTAGCCATACGCCTGCAGTTCTTTCCCGAAAATGTGGAATACAATGCAAGGAGAAAGCTACGGGACCTCCGCCACACCAGATCAGTGAGGGAGTACGTGCGCGAATTCTCCGCACTCATGCTAAACATACGCGACATGGGGGACAAAGACAAACTCTTCGCATTCATAGAAGGTTTGAAACCTCATGCCCGTATGGAACTACAGCGACAACGGGTAGACACCCTGCCCAAGGCCATTCAAGCTGCAGAATGCCTTGGCGACTATCATTTGGGAACTCAGAACGACAGGCCCCAGCCGTCTGTCCGAGGGGGATTCAACGGGCACCATCCCAGCAATGGTGGCCCAAGCAAAAGTGGGGGAGATCGGAGTGCATCCAAAACTAAGACTCCTCCCTCCAACAGCAACAGTGCTGCATCCATCAACAACAATCAGGGGAGAAAGCCTCCCTCAGAATGCCGTCATTGCGGCGGGGCACATTGGAACAATGAATGCCCAAACATCAAGGTCAATGCTCATCAGACGGTCGAGGGTGAGTTAGACACATCAGACTCATCAGACGACGACCAGGTAGGCGCCTTCAATGCAATTGTTGGCTCTATCCCTCATGCCTTAGCGGGGACCAGTGCATGTCCTCCTAAGAAAACATCAGTCCCGATCACCAGGAAAGGGAAAGAAAAGATGGACGAAGGACCTCCTAAACAAGCGAGGACCCTAATGTTCGTCGAATTGAAAGTGAACGGCAAGCCCCTTCACGCATTGATAGACACGGGTGCCACCCATAACTACTTGTCATCAACGCAAGTAGAGCGCCTAGGTCTTGTGGTACAAAAGAGCAAAGGCCGCGTCAAGGCTATCAACTCACCACCTCAGACATTGGGTGGAACAGCTACAAATGTCCCAGTGAAACTTGGCCCATACAAAGGAAGCATCGACCTGCGCATCGCAATCATAGATGACTTCGACATCATAGTGGGTTTGGAGTTCATGAGGCAAACCAACACCATTCCAGTACCATTTGCCAACATGCTCCTGATGATGGGAGAAAACGGGGCCAAGCCCTGCACCATACCATGCTTTCCCATAAAGATGGCCGCTGAAAACATCTCGGCCATGCAGTTGGAGAAGGTAGTCAACAGACATGAACCTCAGGTTCAGGCTACCCTTCGCAGCAACAATCAGCCATCATGTCATCGGCCTCAAAAGACTGGTGACGCTCATCATCGTGTGAAGACTTGTCAGCCATGCCACAAGGACAAGTCGGATCACTCATCACAGCCGGGACCCTCGCAGCCATTACATGTCCCTCAGAGACCATGGGAAAGTGTTTCCCTCAGATTCATCACGGGATTGCCCCAAGTCGGCAATCTTGCATCCATCATGGTTGTCATAGATCAGTTCTCAGACTATGCAACTTTCATAGCAGCCCCGCAAAACATCTCAGCAGAAGATACAGCTCGACTCTTCTTCTCGCACATTGTCAAACATTGGGGCCTGCCCAAAAACATTGTTAGTAGGCGCGACTCACGCTTCACTAGCAACTTTTGGACCCATCTCTTCAGGTGCTTTGGGTCAACATTGAGTCACAACACAGACATCCATCCACCATCGGATGGCCAGACAGACCGGTTCGATGACATGCTGGAGGAATATCTCCGCAACTTCGCAACCGGATCACAGAAGCATTGGGTGAAGCTCCTGGATGCTGCTCAACTGTGTTTCAATTCTCAAAAGAGCCATCATACAAACAAGAGCCCTTTTGAAATTGTTACCGGACAGCAACCGCTTCTCCCGCAAACGGTGAATGCATCAACCATGCCGAAATCTCCTCGAGCTGCCAACTTCTCGAGCGAATGGGAGCGCAACATGGAGATAGTGCGGAGCTATCTCATCAGGGCCCAAGAGCGGGCAAAAAGGTTCACCGAACAAAAGCGTTGCTTTTCCCAACATCAACCAGGGGATAAAGTAATGCTACGCATCCCAAAGCAGTACTTGTTTGCAGAAAGGACCCATGACCCTCGGCTGCAACAAAAATACATCGGGCCCCTGCCCATTGAAAAACGCATTGGGAAGTCCACATACCAGGTCAAAACTCCATCCTGGTGGAAGATCCATCCAGTCTTCCATGTCAGCCGCATGAAATCATTGCTTCGCTACAACAGCAAGCTCAAACAACAGAGGGGCGCAGACCTCCCATCCAACAACCATCAGAAACATCATCATCATCATCATCATCATCATCATCATCATAAGGCTCCGAGGACGGCGCCAACTCAGGTGGGGGAGAATGTCATGGGCTGCTTTCCAGACATGCCCCATGACCCCTTGGCCGCGCCCCATGGCGGCCTAGCAAGCCTCACAATGCCTAGCGCCATGGTCGGCCCCGTGGTCTTGGCTGCGCCAAGTGACAAGCGCGCATGTGCCTCTGTCGCCCCACCGATGCCTCTCGCCAGCGCCCAAGGTGGCCAATAACAACAGCGACGCGTGCCCTGACAATGCCGCGCGTGCAGATCCTGATGCCTCGCCAGCGCCCAGCTGCAGGCCCATTCCAGCAGCGCCTCGCGCACAGACCCTGATGCCAAGCACCAGTGCCCAGCCTCAGGCCAGCACATCAAGTGTCGCGCGCGCCCACAGCAACGCGCGCGCAGACCCGCAAGACAAAGATGCTGCCATCGGACTTAGTTTTTCCTTGTAATAATCTAAGTCCTTTTCATTGTAATCATAGACTAGTTTTCATCATTTTCATTTCAGTGTGCTTCTACAGCTTTATTAGGACTAGTTTTGTAATGTTGGTTTATTTTTTTTAAGCATTATTAAGGAGGACCAAACAATCAAACATTTCAATCAGCATTTTCTGGTGTCTCTCCCCTTCGACACCGCATCATTGTAATCAGCATTTTCATTCATCAATAAAATCATCATCATCATTCGAAACCCAATTCTCTCTCAGCTTCCGCAATTTGCTCACGACATTGGTTTTCCCGTACGGCACTGGCAATCTAGTCTAGCGTGCGGCGAGGACCTCATTGGCGGACAATAATCGCACTGACATCGGTTGCTTAGCCTTACATTGCCCTTCCACAGAACATCAGGAAGGCGTTGCGTAACAGTAAGTATGTAGGATTTATCTTGTATAGTAATATTTTTGGTGAGCAAGCTATATTTTTTGTCATGTAGTGAGATAGAAATTGTCTAAGAAAATGGGGTGCGAGTGATTAAGAATGATGAAGTAGTAGAATATTTTTTTAAAATTCTATTCTTACTAAATTAAAGTTATAAAATAAAATACTAATTAGCTACTTCTAGTCTAAAAATTACAAACGAATAATTCAAAATAGTTAGCTTACTACAGTTAAAGAAAAATGATTCTTCATCCCTTTTATAAATGAACTAGGTAAGGATAAATCGTGCCAGCACGGGCCCAATATTGTGAACGTCAAAACTATTATTATCAACTTTTTTTTGGTTTTGAATTTGCAGAGAATAAAAATTTCATCAAATTAAATGAAGACAAAATCACAACATTACATCATATAAATCGTCAAATTGAACTAAAACAGAATAATCTAATCTAACAACATCAATTGTGGCTTCGGACATGTGTAGACCTTCATTTTCCTTAAGATCCACAAAACACTAATAAATGATATGGCTATCCAAATTTTCTTTCAATTCTTGTACTTGAGCTGCCTTGATGCTTCCTGCCCATAAATATTTAGAAAAAATAAAAGATAAGATATTTCAAATGATGTAGCAATCAACTTTGATTGTAAATTTTCATTGCAAAAGCATGCTTGACATTTCACAGTGTAAAATCATATTCATATCTTGAACTAAGAACCGCATTCGAACATCTCTTAAATTCTAAATACTCCAAAATTCATAGATTTGCATCCCATTCATACTTCACCAATAAATTATCTAGTAGTAAAGATCTTTGTCATTATTTTTTCAAAAAAAAAGAAGACATCAAATAAACGGGATCAAATTATCTATTCAGCTTTCCACAGCGAATGATCAAGCAACGGTACCCACAAATTTAAATATCTAGCCTTTATGGATACCTGAAGATTGCATATTATAGCTCAAAATTTCCCTTCAGAATGTCTTGTGTAATACCAGAATCATCACTTGAATTTTCCGATTTCTTGTCCGAAATAGCACATATTAGAGCACAACCACCATGGCTATACTTGGTGCGAATGAGCTTGATTGGGACATAAATATAGATCATCATAGGAGGGAAAACTTGTCAAGCTGCAAAACACTATAAATTAGCCCATTTAACAAGCTTTAACTAAAATTTTAGGAAAAAATAATAATAAAACAAGCGGCATCAGAGATGCACGAAAACGTCCAAAAAAGTTATTTTGCAAGTCTGCATAAGATAGAACAGAAGAAATTGACAGATCAGACCTTACTTGCAATTAAGAAATCTTACTTTTTCTTGCATTCATTAGTCCTTAGCTCTTGGCTCTGTTTTCTACACATTTCCATGACCTTCTCTTTCGCACAACATGACATAACAATTCTTATGCTCCCAACAATATCATTCAAAACTTAACTTGCTTCCTCAAAAATAATCTGTGAAAAATAAGATTAGCCAGTACCATTAACATCGAAATAATAATGATTTAACCATCTGCAATACTATTAGCAAGCTTTCTATCTTGACTAATCTATTTATTCAACTGGTGTTCGAGAGCAACTCACAGACTTGTTTATCCATATGTTTTAATTTTACCAGCAACTCAAACAAACTCGTGCATTTGATTGAACTCTTTCATGAATTTGATTTAATCATACCCATTTATTCAACTACTGGTATTATGGCAAGCATAATAAGTGCCAACCTCTAACTCACTTCAAAAGCAATAAGTAAACTTGCGCGCAAATTGTAGCATCTTGAACCAGTTAAGTAAATGCATTTCCTACTAAAGCATGCCCCACCAGTTAAGTAAATGCATTTCCTACTAAAGCATGCACTGGGGCTGCATCAACAGAGATCCTAGCAACACTCATTTCAGTGACCATTAATTCATCAAATCATCCCACCTTCACGTGTGGACCACCTCCTCAAAGCAGATAGATGTTATACTTCTTATTATCTTACAACAACCAACTATAACCAAAAGGCATGTTCTTGCTTTAGAGATATAGTTGCTCGTATTAAACTTCCATATCCATTATATAAAGACTAAACATACTTTTGGTGAGGATGTTTAGATATGAAAATAGCTCCATTTAGTATTCACTAATTGAAATAATGAACAAAAGCTTCAATTTTTTTTGACAAGAAATACAAAAAGTAACTCTAAAATAATATGGTAAGTTAAACAATGTAGTAAATACCTAAATGCAAAAGCTTAAATTCAGACAAAAAAATTCACTTCATTCAAATTTGACGACATTGGTAACTAAAAGAATTGACTTGGTGGTCATTTTGCGTGTTAGTCTACCTTTTCTATATTTTTGTATTGAATTTTATTATTATTTATAACTGATGATGTGTGTTGGTGCGAAATGGTTAATTTGCTATCGAATTTAAAATGAATAAGCAAAATATATATACATAATAGCCACGGAATCATATGTTAACACCATCACTCAAAAATTCTCTTTCAAATCATTATGTTGTCATATTTCATTAGTTACACATAAATTTGAGTTGTTGTGGTCACTTCCTAACTCCTATAGTCATTCTATGTCGTATGAACCTAATACTGAGCAAGTGAAGATGCACATTGGCAATACGTCTAGTATACCAACCCGGGAGTGTAGTTCAAGCCCTGTGCCAACTAAGCAATATATTTAAATTTCACGATTATAGAAGATTTCAATTGGTCACAAGGGTTCGCCAATATCTAGGTCATCAAAAAAAAATACATTTCCTATATCATCTAGTCTTGTTCATTTATTTTATTATACCGTTATGAGATCTTTCAATTGTAAAATTCTTCGTTTAACTTGGTTATTACACATTATAAGCATGTGTCCACATAACTTGAGACTTGAGTAAATGGAACCTAGAGCTAATTATATACTAACTCACCAATACGATTAGATTATTCACTTAATTTTGCCTCCCTATCATTACAAGCAGAACAAAAAAGCTTGAATTTTAGTTGCTTATGCTCTAGTGAAATGCATAGGAAGAGAGCGTTCCGCAGATAAACTTTATTTAAGTAGTTTGCCTCAAGTTCTGGACATATCTTCATTGATAGTTCTAGCAAAGATTGTTATACTTTATCAAGTTACTCTCCTAAAGGAGAGGAAAGGGAACTGGATATTATGCATCTCTGTTAGAGGAAAAGGAAAATTCAAATATATCAATAGCTAGATTTTGCTAATTTTATAATATCCAAGAATATATTCTATCCTCATATATAAACTCCAAATGCAAGGAGTTCATAGATAAAGTATTATATCCTAACCCTGAGTCTGAATATGAAAATTTACATATAACAACAGTCAAACATGTAATGACAAATGGGCAAACTTACTTGTCTTTGTACATCTTGGCCCATCTTTAGCCATAATATTCCTGCAAAAGAAAGAAAGAGTTCAAAGCTAAATTCTTTCTATAACACAATTCTGATTTCATAAAGTTTTGATAGCTAATGTGGACAACTCTAATGTGAGCTTCAATCCACTTTAGAACCTTAGTCTGGTTCTAAGAATTTGCCCCATGGGAAAAAGATATTAAAACATGAGGTATTAATTTATCATACTCTGCCATGTATGAACTTACATATTGACAAAACATAATTGAAAGTATTTTTCCCATTCACCTGGTACTTTCTCGTTGAAACAATTGGTCCCACCACGTGAAATATGATTTTTGAAATCCCTTGGAACCTTAAAGCAGATAGTTATGGAGCCATAATCAGACATTCAAAAATAATATTTTCACATATAAAATAATTCAGAAATAGAAAAAAAAAGTGATCTGCGTATTAGGCTAGACCTGCGAAAGTGTTACAATCATAAAATAATGTGATAACACATGAATATTAAAAAATATGGAATATGCACCAAAACTGATATAGCAGATACACCAAAAGGAAATTGTAGAAGCAAACTCACAAAACCCAGAAAAAAAAGTCTGCCGATAGAAGCAAACCAAATACCCAAAAAATTCCAGCAAAAGCAAAGAGAGCAAAAATAATAGAAATGGACCCAAGATAGACAAGAAGAAAGCGATGAATCAGAGAAAACAACTAAGTTGCACTATTAGGAAAATGTAGTGTGTTGTCTTTGTTGAATTAAAAAACATGTGGAATCAACATCCTTTAGAAGTAAATGGAAGAGACACATACTCTTTTCAGTGCAAAAGTGTATTGGTAACTGGGAAGTATGTAAAAAACTGAAGAAGCATTAGTTGAAGGTGAAGAAAGAAAGAGGTTGTTGTTGTCATCTAACATCACTTCTTCCTATATGCACCAGCACGCACATATATATATATATATATAATTAAAACATGTATTGCAAAATATACCGACTGAAAACAGTTTTGACCATATTTAATTGTTAGTTCTAAGGCTCCAATGTCATTCAGCCAATTGGTCAAACATATGGCATACAATTTCATGAAAATATATGAAAGTACGATATGAATTAGCCATCCTAAAATAATTAGGGCAAAGAAATCACAGCAACCCTTCATCAATTTCACACAACCATCAAAATAGTCCAAATAAGAAGAAAAACAAAAGATATCTATGAAAATCTCATCACCATATAAAGGAAATAGAACAGAGCCCAAAAACACAAAGAAGGAAATTGCAAAAACCAACACATATCAGCAAAATCTCATCACCAAGAAACTCCGCAGAATTCACATATATGATAAATCCCAAAACCAAAGAGCAAATGAGAAAATGTAGAAATCAAGTAAAAGCTAATGGCCAGAAGAAGACACTTAAAGAAAAGTTGGAATAGGGTAATAATCGAGCATAAAGACTTAAGACCAAAATCAAATTTCAACTCAAAAAGGGATCATCACCTGGTTTTTGCCCGTTCTCGGTGCTACGCTTTGATTGTGGTGAATTGTTGTTGTACTGATTTTTCTCCGTGCATGCCTAGAAAATTCCAGATTGGGATATTGAGTAGAAAGAGAGAGAAAAGGGAATTAAGATTAAGATGTTAAAGAAAAGAGATGCACACCTGGAGTCATATAACAATTACAGGTAGACTTATGGGTAGGCAAATAAAGCCACGTACATGTATGATACAACAAAAGTGATGCTAAATGACTAAAGTGCTCTCAAGCCTTTTGAAATAGACACTAAACATACACGTCGAAATTCAAGCTCTTCTAATATCTAGAAAATGTGACATAAAAAGAAATTTCAGCACCATGATAGTGAACTGATTTGAGTAATCACTAAATTGATTGGCACTTTTAAACTTGTTAACCTAGAGCAAAAATAATAGAAATGGACTCAAGATAGATAAGAAGAAAGCGATGAACCAGAGAAAATAACTAAGTTGCAATATTAGAAAAATGTAATATGTTGTCTCTGTAGAATTAAAAAGCACGTGGAATCAGCATCCTTTAGAAGTAAATGGAAGAGACACGTACTCTTTTCAGTGCAAAAATATATTGGTAACTGGGAAGTATGTAAAAAACTGAAGAAGCATTAGTTGAAAGTGAATAAAGAAAGAGGTTGTTGTTGTCATCTAACATCACTGCTTCCTATGTGCACCAGCACACACACACACACACACACATATATATATATATATATATAATTAAAACATGTATTGCAAAATATATCGACTGAAAACAGTTTTGAGCATATTTAATTGTTAGTTCTAAGGCTCCAATGTCATTCATCCAATTGGTCAAATATATGGCATACAATTTCACGAAAATATATGAAAGTACGATATGAATTAGCCATCCCAAAATAATTAGGGCAAAGTAATCATAACAACCCTTCATCAATTTCACACAACCATCAAAATACTCCAAAATAAGAAGAAAAACAAAAGATATCTATCAAAATATCACGACCCGGATTTTTTACCCTCGGAAGTCGTGATGACGCCTACTAATGAGAGTTAGGCAAGCCAATCCTTAACTACTTACTTCGTTAACAATTACTTCTTTTAACAATTATCGGCGATAGCATGAAAGCAACGGAATTAAATAAATATGTGGAAGACTTAAATTTAAAGAAACTGAACAATAATGCGAGAATCAACATATGTCTCTACCCAAGAACTGGTGTCACATTACTCATGAACTTCTAAGAGTGCTAAATACAACCGTTTGAAAGAAAATATAAACTGTTTTTCTCTAATATATGAGGTAACAGACGGAAATAAAAGATAGAGGAGACGTCAGGCCTGCGAACGCCTGCAAGGCTACCTCAGTGTCTCACTGGACTAAAGACTGGCTCCCGCGCTACTGCTGCTGTCCAAAACCTGGATCTGTGCAAAAGAGCACAGAGCATAGTATCAACACAACCGACCCCATGTGCTGGTAAGTGTCTGGCCTAACCCCGGCGAGGTAGTGACGAGGCTAGGACCAGACTCCAGATAAACCTGTACATTTATATAATATATGGCAGAAAAGTAAACAAGTAATAAGCGGTTAAAGTTGGGGAAGAGGAACATGCTTCGGGGATAGCAGTTAAAAGAAATAACAGGGAATAATNTCCATTCCCCCACAAATTCAAATATATGGTTTGTTTTGAAATCAGACCTCAAATTAAGGTCCAAATCCCTAATTTTAGAAAAACCTATGTTCTACCTAAATCACCCAATTTCCCCATGAAAATCTTTGATTTGAAATTGAAATCATGTTAAAAGATGTTAAGAAGTGAAGAAAATAAGTTAGAAATCACTTACCAATCGTTTCAGAGAAGAAAAGTTGTTTGGAAAATCGCCTTTTATGTTTTGGAGTTTTAAGAAGTGTAAAATAACTGAAATTCACATGTATTTATACCCCTCTGCCGCGCAAGAAGGACCGCGGTCGCGCAGGCTCCGTGAAGACCTGCGGATCATTGCCCCGTGCGGACCGCACNCATCGAATTGATTCTCAAGATCAATGAAATTTCTCAGATTTCCTTTTAAACATCAATTTTCCCAATTTGGGTCCAGATCACGTCAAACAACGTCTGTTTTTAACCAAACTTTACAGGAGTGATTCAAAACATATATAAGACTCGTACCGGGCGCCGGAACCAAAATACGGGCCCGATACCATTGCTTTCTAATCAGATTTCATTTCAATTTTCTTTAAACATTTTTAGAGAACAATTTCACTTAAAAATTCATAACTCGGGCTGGGGACCTCGGAATTCGATTCTGAGCATACGCCCGAGTCCCATATTTTCCTACGGACCCTCCGGGATCGTCAAATCACGGGTGTGGGTCCGTTTACCTAAAATGTTGATCGAAGTCAAATTTATTCATTTCGAGGTCAAAACTTAGCAATTTTCACAAGATTTCACATTTAAGCTTTCCGGTTACGCGCCCGAACTGCGCACATAAATCGAGGTGATTCTAAATGAGGTTTTCAGGGCCTCGGAGACACAGATTTCAATTAAAAACAGGTGATGACCCAAAGGGTATCATATTCTCCACCTCTAAAATAATCGTTCGTCCTCGAACGAACAGAAAAAGGAAGTACCTGAGTCGGGGAAAAGATGAGGATACCGGTCCCGCATATCGAACTCGGAATCCCAGGTTGATGCCTTAGGGGGCTGACCTCTCCATCGAACACAAACCGAAGGAAAACTCTTCGACCTCAGCTGGCGAACCTGTCAGTCTAGAATAGCCACCGGCTCCTCCTCATATGACAAATTCTTGTCCAACTGGACAGTGCTGAAATCTAACACATGGGATGGATCGCCGTGATATTTCCGAAGCATGGACACATGAAACACTGGATGCACGGCTGATAAGCTAGGCGGCAATGCAAGTCTATAAGCCACCTCTCCCATTCGATCAAGGATCTCAAATGGACCAATGAACCTAGGGCTAAGCTTGTCTTTCTTCCCAAATCTCATCACGCCCTTCATAGGCGACACTCGGAGCAACACCCGCTCACCAACCATAAAAGCCACATCTCGAACCTTACGATCTGCATAGCTCTTTTGCTTGGATTGAGCTATAGAAGCCTATCCTGAATGATCCTGACCTTGTCCAAGACCTCCTGAACCAAATCTGTACCCAACAACCGAGCCTCTCCCGGCTCAAACCATCCAACCGAAGATCGACACTGCCTGCCATATAAAGCCTCATAAGGAGCCATCTGGATACTCGACTGGTAGTTGTTGTTGTAGGTAAACTCTGCTAAAGGCAAGAACTGATCCCACAAACCTCCAAAGTCAATAACACAAGTTCGGAGCATATCCTCCAATATCTGAATTGTCCGCTCGGACTGTCCATCCGTCTGAGGATGAAATGATGTACTCAACTCAACCTGGGTGCCTAACCCTCGCTGAACTGCTCTCCAAAAACGCGAGGTAAACTGCGTACCTCGGTCCGAAATGATAGATACCAACACACCATGAAGACGAACAATCTCCCGGATATAGATCTCAGCTAACCTCTCGGACGAATAGGAGACTGCCANTAATACTCGACTAGGCTCAGAAATATCCAACCTCACAAATCGATTGGCCAAAGCCTGAACATCCAAAGCAAGCGACCTCTCACTGACTGGAATATAAGCAAGACTGCCCATACTGGCTGACTTTCTACTCAAAGCATCGGCCACCACGTTGGCCTTTCCCGGGTGATATAGGATAGTGATATCATAATCTTTCAACAACTCCAACCACCTCCTCTGCCTCAAATTCAACTCCTTTTGCTTGAACAAATACTGAAGACTCTTATGATCCGTGAACACCTCACATGCCACGCCATACAGGTAATGCCTCCAAATCTTCAATGTGTGAACAATGGTTGCTAACTCCAAATCATGTACTGGATATTTCTTCTCATGAACCTTCAACTGCCTCGAAGCATAGATAATGACCTTGCCATCCTGCATCAACACTACACCAAGTCCAATGCGAGATGCATCACAATAAATGGTGTAAGGCCCTGAACCTGTGGGCAAAACTAATACTGGTACTGTAGTCAAGGCTATCTTGAGCCTCTGAAAGCTTGCCTCACACTCGTCTGACCATCTTAACTAGGCACCCTTCTGGGTCAACCTGGTCATCGGGGCTGCAACAGATGAGAACCCCTCCACGAACCGACAATAGTAGCCTGCCAATCCCAAGAAACTCCGAATCTCTGTAGCTGATGCTGGTCTAGGCCAGTTCTTGACTGCCTCAATCTTCTTTGGATCAACCTGAATGCCCCCTGCTGATACAACATGACCCAGGAATGCCACTAAACTCAACCAGAACTCACACTTCGAGAACTTAGCATATAACTGGCTATCCTTCAAAGTCTGAAGAACCACTTTGAGGTGCTGCTCGTGTTCCTCCTGGCTGCGGGAATATATCAGGATATCATCAATAAAGACTATCACGAACAAGTCCAAATAAGGCCTGAACACTCGGTTCATCAACTCCATAAATGCTGTTGGGGCATTGGTCAACCCGAATGACATAACCAAGAACTCATAATGCTCATACCGAGTGCGGAAAGCTGTTTTAGGGACATCAGATGCCCTAATTCTCAACTGGTGGTAGCTAGATCTCAAGTTAATCTTTGAAAATACCTTGGCACCCTGAAGCTGATCGAACAAATCATCAATACTCGGCATTGGATACTTATTCTTAATTGTAACCTTGTTCTATTGCCAGTAATCAATGCACATTCTCATCGAACCATCCTTTTTCTTTACAAACAAAACTGGCGCACCCCAAGGCGAAATGTTGAGTCTAATGAAACCCTTTTCAAGCAAATCCTACAGCTGTTTCTTTAACTCTTTCAACTCCGGCGGGGCCATACGATATGAAGGAATAGAAATGGGCCGAGTGGCCAGAGCCAGATCAATGCAGAAATCAATGTCCCGGTCGAGTAGCATCCCCGGCAGGTCTGAAGGGAAAACCTCAGGAAACTCACGAACCACGGGCATAGAATCAATATAGGGAACCTCAGCACTGGAGTCACGAACATAAGCCAAATATGCCAAACACCCCTTCTCGACCATACGCCGAGCCTTCACATACGAAATAACACTTTGAGTAGAATGACTAGGAGTCCCTCTCCACTCTAAATGGGGCAAACTCGGTATGGCTAAGGTCATGGTCTTGGCATGGTAATCCAAGATAGCATGGTACGGGGATAACCAATCCATTCCCAATATAACATCGAAGTCAACCATGTCTAAAAGCAACAAATCAACACGGGTCTTAAGACCTCCAAACACTACAATACAAGAACGATGAACTCGGTCGACCACAATAGAATCACCCACCGGTGTAGACACATAAACAAGAATACTCAATGAATCACTAGGCATGACCAGGTACGCTGCAAAATAAGATGACACGTACGAATACGTAGACCCTGGATCAAATAGCACTGAATCATCTCTATCACAAACCAGTATAGTACCTGTAATGACTGCATCTGAAGACTCAGTTTGGGGCCTGGCTGGAAGTGCATAACATCGGGGTTGGGCCCCACCACCCTGAACTACCTTTCTGGGACGGCCTGTTGCTGGTTGGCCTCCACCTCTAGCGGCTTGAGCTCCACCTCTAGGACCTCTACCTCCACCTCTAACACCTCTGCCCCCGCCTCTAGCTGGCTGGGCAGGTTGTGGGACATCTGGTGCTTGTACCATAACACGAGAACCCTGATGCAGAGAACTGCTCGAAGCTCGAGGGCAATACCTAGCAATGTGCCTCGTGTCTCCACAAGTAAAACAAGCCCATGGCTGCTGGGGCTGACGACCCTGGAAACTCTGAAGTGGCGGTGCACTAATAGGTGCTGATGGTGCACTGTAAGGCTGCTGATCAGAATAGTGCGTCTGAGAACCACCACCTGAAGTACCATGGGAGACCTGAAGAGCTGACTGAAAGGGCCTAGGAGGATGGCCTCTACCATATGAATCTCTACCTTCAGACGAGGTACCACTGAATCTACCTGAATGACGGGGCCGCTTATCCTACCCATGACCACCTCCCTATGATAGAAACATCTCAACTCTGCGGGTCACATTGGCCGCCTCCTGAAATGTAATCTCACTCCTAGCCTCCTTGGCCATCTGAAGACGAATCGACTGAATAAGACCATCAATAAACCTTCTCACCCTCTCTCTCTCGGTGGGAAGTATGACAAGAGCATAGCGAGCTAGATCGATGAACCTGGTCTCATACTGAGTGACCGTCATGGAACCCTACTGAAGGCGCTCAAACTGCCTCCGATAGGCTTCTCTCTGCGTCACGGGGAGAAACTTCTCCAGAAACAACAATGAAAACTGCTCCCATGTCAAAGATGGCGATCCGGCTGGTCTCGCTAAGCAATAATCCCTCCACCAAGTCTTGGCGGATCCAGATAAGCGAAATGCAGCAAAATCGACCCTATTAGTCTCAACAATGCCCATGTTCCTGAGAACCTCATGTCAGTTGTATAGGAAATCCTGGGGATCCTCAGAAGGAGCTCCGCTGAAAGTAGTAGTGAAGAGCTTGGTGAATCTGTCCAGTCTCCACAAAGCATCGGCGGACATAGGCACATAGCCACTCCATCGCCGGTCTGAGCCACTACACCCGACTGAACTACCACCGCTGGCTGAACCGCTGGAACCTGAATCTAGGGGGCTACCTGCTCCGGAGTGCGTATAGCAGGAGTCTGAGCCCCTCCTCCAGCCTGAGAAGTGGCTGGTGCTACAGGAAGCAAACCTGCTCGGGTGACACTCTCCATCAGGCCCACCAATCGAACCAGAGCATCCTCAAGAACTGGGGTAGCGATAAACCCCTCTGGAACCTGAGTTGGGCCCACCAGAACTGTTGGGGATGGAACCTCCTCCTCAAAATCAACCTGAGGCTCTGCCACTAGTGCCGCTGCTCGGGGCTGAGCTCTGCCCCTACCTCAGCCTTTAGCATGGCCTCGGCCTCGCCCTCTGCCCCTAGTGGGAGCTACTGTAGGGGGATCGAGCTGCTGAGCGGTAGATGAGGAAGCGCGTGTTCTTGCCATCTACAAAGAACAGAGTAGAAGTTCAATTAGCATTTGAGGAACAAATCCGCACGACAAGAAAGAACAAAAGTGAAGTTTTCCTAACTCGGTAGCCTCTGGGGATAAATACAGACGTCTCCGTACTGATCCCTCAGACTCTACTGAGCTTGTCCGTGAGTTGTGAGACCTATGTAATCTAGAGCTCTGATACCAACTTGTCACGACCCAGAATTCCCACCCTCGGGAGTCGTGATGG